TTTATTAAAAATGAGTTTTATTTTATGATGTTCAACTATGAGTAAAATTCAAATAGTGTGGTAAAATTTGAAAGTTATCAAATTCTGTATTTAATTATGTTAGGAAAACGTACTTTTAGAACTTAGTTTTGTTAGGGTAAAAATCAATTATGAAATAGAATAGGTAATTTCTTACTGTCAAACATTTTTCTAACCATTAATCAATCGTAAATATGTAATCAAATTGGCATAGCAATAAATAATAAGGCAATTTACTTCATTCGATAATATACAACATATCGGAAGTAAACAGAAGCAAGCTTAGCAAAATTAAACTGTGTTGTAAAACTTTGAAATCAAATAGGTTTTAAATCTTTCTATAAAATGGAATAAAAAACGTGGATTTTTTTATAATATCACTTCAAATCCAGGTCTGCTGCAAAAGGAAGTCCAGTTCCTTAATTCTGAAAGGGCAAATTAAATTAGTTGAAGTATTTAAGTTTTCTTGAATTTTTTTTACAAACTTACATAATTTTTATTTCGCCAAGTCCGCAATTGAAGTAAACGTATACAATGAGTTTAGTTCATTAAATTGATTTAGGGCAGAGGAATCTACATAATTTAATAACATTTAGGGAATAACATTAAAACAAATAAAGACTAAAACCAATTAATGTTTTGTCCACAAAATGTATAGCACGTTTTTCCACCTATTTTCAGATTTAATCGAAAATAATTTTTTAGTAGGAAATCAGAAGTAAATTCATAGGTTAGGGTTAGTTAGGCGTGCTACAAAATCAAGACTACACCTTGGAAACACGAATCTTCTCGCTACAAGATGCATCTGTGTAGTTTAGTGATTGGTGTTTTAGTTCTTAAGTCATTCTTTGTATCCAGGCTTCGGGTAGGTTTAAGATACGATTACTGGTCCAGGAGGTTTAAGCACCTCAAACTAACAGACATCAATTATAATGATAATACGCTACGATTTCGACCGCGTGAAGAACAAAAGTTTGAACAGTTGTCGCCGTTGGCCAGTTAACCAAAGAAGAAAGAAGTCTATCGACAAAATCGTTCGTGTATATTTTTAAATAACATGCCGAACCGTCAAAATATTGTTTAAATCAACGCCGACGTCACAACAGTTTTGTTTAAAATATTATTCGTCGAACTTTATATCTTTTGTATCTTCGTAGTTTTAAGAAATTTTATATTCTCTTGTAATGTATGAACATGTTTGATATTTTATGTGTTTTTGGCATAATATGTGTTTATATTTTGTATTTTTGTCTTGTCTTGTTAATAAAAGTCCAATATGATGTGAACAATGATTTTAAGTCATACAGGGATCAATTTATAATTAGCTACCACTTAAAGTTAATTACTTTTTATATTGCTCATACATTTGTTAGTGAAGGATTTAAGATAGTATGTGAGAAATCAAGACGAAACAAATATTAAAAATTATTACAGTTAAAATTTCAAACTATATAAGTAATGCTAAAACAGAATGGCATTGAAATACATGCAGATTTTGGTTGGCTACCAACTGTTGAATATCCTAAAAGTTTTTCGGGAGGTTTCAATTTATTTTAAAAGTGAAATAACAAAGCACCTTTTCACTTAAACCATTGGCATGAGTCCATTGGTATTTTGGTTTTAAGGAAAAATAGACTAAAAATATAGGTTACAATTTTAGTGTACCATCTTATGTGGTTGGGGTTTAAATTAATATATATGTGGAGATATTGCTTAAAACAATTATTTATTGAAATTAAACCTTTGTGAAATTAAAAATATAAAAATTTGTTCACATCATATCAGACAAGTTTCAGCTGAAGCCAACCAAAGGTAGGAAATATTCAATTTTCTTTATTTTAGTTGTTTGTGTTTAGTTTAGCCTGGATACAAGGAAAATATTTGCCAACATATTTTCCATAAATTATGTTTACCAATGAATTTTTTACAAATATTGAGGAAAATGGTTTGAAATTGACTTAAAATGAAATATAAATTAATATATGTTGTGCAAATATCGTAATGTTATATTTTTGTTAACTTTGGAATCGTGATCAATGGCTTAAAGAGTTTATAGTTGCAAAGTTTGGTTGATTTTGAACTACGACAACTACTGTGACTTCTGCAGCGTAACTTAAAAAGTAGGTTTGGTTAAAATTCTTACACATTCTTTTACTTTTATTTAGTATTTAGGTAGGTTTAGTTAAAATTGTTACAAATATTTTTACTTTGATTTAGTATTTAACTTTTTATTTGTATAGGCTGGTATCCTGGCCTTAGTTATAATAATTGTTAGAATGATTAATTTACAAACATAAAATATTTGAACGGCCCAGTAGTATTTATTATTGTTGACTTCTGTTTGTATATTAAATGAATGAATTTCATTACAGTTCCAAGTTAAGTTAGTTTATTTGTTTTGCAGAACCAATGTTATGACTTGTTAGTTACTGTGTTACTTATTAAGAACGTATAAAAATATTTTTAAAATTTTTATGTTTTTGACATTTTACAGGAAAAATTACAGCATTGTTTTAAAACTGGGCCTTCACTTGATATTTTAGTCAAAATATATTTTATAAGAAGGTGTACCTATAGAGATTGATTTAATTGTTGCATTAGTGGGAATATTGCACCATGTAGTAAAATAACTTCTAAGGAAAATTATTATTTTAACAATTTCTAGACAGTTTTATCTTAAACATTTCCGATACATGGCAAATATTACTAAGTTTTTTTTTTCAAAGTTTGCTACCCATACGCAAAGAAAAAGATTGTTTCCATAGGTCTATTGCTATTAAATATATTTATAGCTAATCTCTATATCTGCACCTTCATAGGTATAAGGTTAGTATAGGATTAGAGGCGGTCGGAGTCAAAAGAATCATTTTATTAGGTATGGGCTAATTTATTTTGGTTTCCACTATCTATATACATCGATTGTTTCCACCGTAATTAATATTTTATGACAATAATTGTTTCGAAGTAAAACAATCAATTTCTCAAAATTGGGGTTATCAAAGCAATTTTGGTTCAAAATGTCATTAATTTTGATTGACTTTGTTGACTGATTACTCAAATTGATGTGAGATGGTTTTGATTGTAAAATTACTCCGCCCGCCTCGCCCTATTTTTCCCGTGTGGAGTTGCTAGTCTCCTATCGGGCGCCTCCCCAGGTGGCGGATAGGGGAAGGCTCGTCAGATTTGGCGGGTACTGGGAATAGACCCCAGGGCGGACCAAAACTAGCATAGTATTTAGCATAGATTAAAGGTTAGCAGCTGATCGGATAAAAGTTTGTTTCAAAACAGGATTTCTGTTATGATAAAAAATATATTTTACACAGCTAAAATAATGTTTAAAGAATTCAAAGGCTAAATTAAAGAACTCAAAGGCTAAATATGATATCAATAGTTTTAAAATATCAGAACATGGATTGTTCTGTAATTTATAGAGACAAAATGTCGGTTATGCTAATATTAATGAAAATACGTAAGAATGTGTTGTCATACATTTTATGTGAACGATTAAAATTATATCTCAATCTCGTCTGATTTTAGGCATACTGTTAACTATAACACGGTTGATAAAAATATTAGTGTTTAATTATCTGTGCGTCTTGAATTAGTTATAATTTTGATTATGATTGAATGATTGCAGTCCTTAAGACCAATCCGTTTGTAGCTTTGTAACATATTTATTCTAGAATCCAGTAGGACAAACCTTGTACCAGAAGGCGACAATCAGATATTTTTCCTTTTTATTTATTGTCGATCAATTGGTCCAGAAACACCACAAGAAAGAATGAAACATTCTAGAAGTTTGCATTGAAATCTAAGCTCTACTAATATCACCCAATATCTAATCCTACCTAATACCATTGACTTTTGAACTGAAGTAGACGTTCCATGCATATGGAAAAGCTGTCCCAAAATGTTAGTGAGAAGAACGTGCTAGAGTGAGCCACTAAACAGATTGCAATTGTCCCTGAAACTATATTTAATCACTTTTTTGTTACTGAGATAGTTGACATGACATAATAGACGCTATAATCTTACTAATATTATAAATGTGAAAGTTTGTTTGTGTGTTTGTTTGTTTGAAGTTCAATCACGCATTAACTACTGGACGGATTTGGCTGAAATTTGGCATGATGATAGCTCACATTCCTGATTGACATATTAGGCATATTCTTATCTCAAAAATCCATTCGGGCTCTGCCCCAGTGGCTCTTTAGTTCCCCATGTTAACCTTATGAGTATTCATATTTAAAGGGAATTAAAGTATTTAGTCAGCTGTTTCAACTAAAACGTTGGTTCTATGATATTCAAAAGCATTAAAAGTTATAAAATTTACCAACAGGGTCCACCACTATATATTTTTTTCATTTATGAAAACAGCTAATTTAAACAAATCAGTACCAAAGATCTGGGATACAAAATGAGGACTGTCAAAGTCGGATTGTTTACAGTAGTTTCTGGTTTTAATTTAATGAATAATTTGTGATATTTTGCGAAACTTCAATAATTTATTTTTCTCTATTGTTTAGGTGAAGTGGTAGAACGTTATGGCTATGTTAGATGTATAGTACTATAATAGTACACCGTCAATTTAAAGAAGCAACTTTTATCAAACTGTGTCCTCCCCCATTGCAAACGCAAATCATACTCAATATAATGCCAATCCCGTACGAATCCGGGTTCTCTACTAGTTTTCAATAAGTCATAAGTAATTCCATCAGTTTTCCTTGGTTAAACAATCCGCATACGACAAAGAAATAAGTAATTACATCAGCATATTATGTCGGTGACTAACTTCAACTACATCCGTTTAGATTTTAAAACTGGCGACAGCTTTAACATGGAGATGGAATGTCCAGTTATATCAAGAGTCAAAGCTAACAACTATAGTTCGGCCGCTTAGATAGCGACCTGCGCGCTAATGGTAACCAATGCTAGAGGTGTGCTATCTATGTGGCCGAACTATAATACTACATAATACTCACTGTTTTCCTCCACAGTATAGCGCGGTATTGCGGCACACACTGGTTGTTGGCGTCGGTGAGAACAACACTGAGAAAGAACGGTATCTTGTCTGCGTCCATGCCGACGTAGTTTTGATGTACTGTAACATAAAATTCGCCAAATGTAGAAACACAAGGAGTTAATTAACGATAAAATATAACTAAGCATGCATTGTTGATGGTTTATTTAAATTGGTGTCATCATATGTTGATTCTACACACTCTGAAGGATTATAGTCTGTGTGATAAAACCTGTCTCCTGACCTGTCTGCCTGGGTAGTAGCCCGGGTATGGAGAGCGGCGTTGGTCCAATAGGCATTACCCCTAATGGCACTGTTTCGAAAATAATGCGAGTTTAAAGTACTGCTCCGACAGGATGCACAGTCAGGAACTACTCCGAAAATAGTGCAAGGGTTAGGCTAGTCCGAAAATGTACTTCGGAGCAGTGACTTTTATGCCTTTTCCAGTGACTGGATATCCCCAGATAGGCGGGGACCTGAAGACAGCTTCAATAGTGAGGATAACTATAAATTTGATTGATGTATAAGAAAATAATACACAGTTGAAATTTATAGCAATTTTGTGTGATTGATTGTTGCTTGTTAAGCTAAATATCAACTTAATGATCTAATTATAGAAAAATATTCCATCCGCTTTTTGATGTAATATTACGTTATGGAATATTTGATAACTAGAGTAGAAAGTGAGTCATTACATATTTGAGACCATGTTTATTGAGCAATTTAAATGGTCGAGAATATGTATAGACCCACTTTCATTCGTGTTTTGAACGTTACTTTTAGCTACACTACAAAGAATACTTATTTTTCCTACAGTTACCTAACAATGTACATGTTCTCTCACTGATTTGAGAAAGCAAAGTGGCCAATTCGCTCATCAGTGAGTCCAGATTTGCAACGTGAAGGCACGAAATAGTGAACGCGTAACATGCAGGCAACGTCGTATGCGCGCGAAATACGTTGGCAGCACTGGCTGTAAATCAGCTGGTCAGCTGTTGTACTGTTGTATTTGTCACTTGACATTAAATGTTATATTAAAAGTTCACTTCTGTGTAAAAATAGGTTATGTTTCTTAACAAATTTATTTGTTTTATGGTAACTGTAGGAAAAGTATAATGTGCAACTCGAGTTCGAAGTACAATTGCCTCACTCGAGAAACCATTCCTCACTCGCCTACGGCTCGTGAGTAAGGATTTCTCTCGAGTGAGTCAATTGCTCACTTTTCTCACTAGTTGCACAAATAACTATTTAAATTAAAACAGACTTTGGATACTTCTTTATTACAGTTAGGAACGTTACAACACTCATAGAATTTTTTAGGTTATGCTTACAAAGTTAATATTTACTTTGGTTGTATAGTTTCAGTTGTTGAAAATAGAATCAGTCGACAAAACCGTACCAATAGCTTGCTTACGTCGGCAAAATCCAAAAAAGATAAGTAAACATTACGTTCGCATAGTAAACAACCTTTTTCCGTAGTCAACAATGCAATGATGAATTTTCGCAGGTGAAACAGTCATTTCACAGTAGTGTAGCGAAATAGGTTTTAAAATGGATCAGCTGGTAGTTGTGTTAAGATGGCATATGTTTAGATTGATTAGACCAGCTGGGTGCTGTTTAGTGACGTCATAAGCTGTTACATATTAGTCTAGCTAGTTGCTCTGGGATGACGTCATAGGCTATTTTAGATCAAACATGTTTGTGTCTGTGGAATGACGTAATTGACTGGAACATATTATATCGGTTAATTAAGGTGGTTCTGGAGCCTTGCAGTCTTTGCCTGTAATAGTTGCATAATTTGGGATTTGAGGAAGATGCGATTGTAAGCAAAGGAAAAACGGCAAGTTCTTTACATAATGTTTAATCTAAGGATTGATGATGCTATAATGTTCTATAGTTAATTCGGTAACAACTTATTTTTATATTTAATCCAGTATTTAGTTTTAAGACGTTTTAAAAGTATTATTTTGGAGCTAGAAAACGCAAACGTTAACTTTGGCTTTGTTTAGACACTCAATCAATGAAACTTCAATGAAAAAAAGAGTATCATAACACATTGCAGCTCTATCTCCCAATACAGTGGTGCGAAATCGTTTTTTCGTTAAATATTTATTTATAAAAATTTGTAAAGGTATAAAACATTGTGAAATAAACAAATAAAAGTGGGAAAATTGGATGGGAAATGTACATCTTCACCGCTTCTAAAGAAGATGCCTAAAAGATAGTGTTCTTGTTAAGCAATACAAGTTTTACACGCGTTATCGAGACATAACACAACCGATAGGAACATCCTATAGGTCTCCGAGGCATCGTCCAATGTAATGGGGAGGATCATGCTGTGAGAGGGGGTTTATGGGTATACCTTCACAACATGCCACTAAGAAATAACATGCTTAAACTCGGGTATTTTATGCATGTAATTGGCTATTTATTTAATTTTTAAGCTTCAACCAAATTGAGACTTGCCTTCAATCACAACATGCCACTGATAAAAGGTTTATGATTTAAATTGAATGTATGAAATAGGTTAATTTTAATGTGTAATAATCACTTAAGTGCATTATTTTAAACCAAAGTAAGTCGGCCTATTTTAATCATAAATAAACTTAACAAATAAGTAATGTGTACCTAGTAAATTTTACGTATAGACTTATTTTACAGACGATTAATCTGTAATAAGGGTACTCAATAGGACAATATGATCAAAGACATCTGGATATAGAAAACAGGACAACGAGTATACTTCCAAGACATTCTCTAATACAAGGTCGCGGCGAGAAAATAATGGCAACACTGCAGATCAGGCCACCCAAAACAGCTGTTGCATTAATTCATGGTATAGCGTCTGCGCAAGGCTTATATTTATACTTTTCTTATTACTGTTATTTTTATTTTTTGTCTTCAGAGGCACGAGCTTGGGATTGTTTTCCACTTACTTGAGGCTAGACCTAGGGGTTGCATCACTATCACTGAGATAAAATCCATTGGTGATTTGGCGGGATTTGAACCCGAAACTTCAGGGACCGAAGTCCCACGTTCTATATTTAGACCCCATTATTACTGATATAGCCTAACTGTTTTTGTCATGACGTTCTGTTATTAACAGTTCTTCAAACAAATTTATCTTAAGTTGTATAAAAACTCTCAGAGTGAAGTTGTTCTTTGTTTTTCAACGTAATGTAAAAGATGTACTATTTACATTTAATTTACCTGATGAGTACTATTAATACAGAATTGGCAGCAATATTTAGCGCTATATCACGCTTGGTTTAAATATAGCTCTGATGTTACAGTGCTTTGATGAGTCTAATTTAGCGGCTGTCCGAGCAGTGGACGTGCAATTGGCAGCTATTGTCCATCGATTTAAATAGACCGAAGACCCAAACAGCGCGACAGCTTCCTTGGTCATTGTTGTGAGTGCCATGGGGGGATTTTGTTTATAAAATGTTATCATGCGTAAATCGTATGGGAATTGAACCTAGGAGCATGATTCAATACTTAAAGATGCATAGACTACTTAGTGTAATATGCATTGAAAATCTTAAGAGAAAGTATGTGGATTTTGATTACCCCATTTTTGTTTTGTCTAAAATCTATGGTTGAAATGCAGACGTTTTAACTGGCAACGACATGAGATTTCAGATCTCGAAAGGGCACAGAAATTCGCTTTAAACTTATGTTAAATTGACGATTTACTAGATTGATTTGGTAAGCCAAAACTGTTTTACAACGCGATTTTGTAAACTACAGCACGATTGTTAGCTTCTTGTTACATAAGACAGTAAACGAGTCATTAATTTTAAAGAGTAAGGTCGTTATTCTTGTCCATTTGCTGAATTATAGGTAACCATACAAAGTATAGTGATTTTTAAAATACAATTCCATAAAGGCAAGCATATATTTCGTTATTGGTCATACAAATGATTTTGTTGTAACATTACAATATTGTTTCCATAAAAACTTATTTTATCTACATTTACAATATTGTTAGTTTCTATGAACACTTAATTAGTTGACAACATTTTACAACATTCAGATGATAATTATACTTAATAGTTAGGATAATGCAAAAAACTCGCGATTATTTATAAACTTAACTTTAAAACTAAGACTAATTCTAGAATCATGGTTCTTCTCAAATTAGAACTTTAACGATTTAGCTACTCATGCTTTTACTAGAGCAATATTTGTTAAGCAATGAACTTACGTTTTCCAAGGAAGTACTTAAAGTACCACCGCGTTTGATATTCCGGATTCTCAAGCACTGGCGTACTTGGGGACCCGAAAATCTGAAAAATAACATTTTGTTGTAATAAAATACAAATTAACCCTATGATTATCATAATTATAAAAGTGTTTTAGCTAAATGTTTAAAAAGCAATTGCATATTTTTCATGTGAAAAAGAACTGTGTATACATCAGTTTGGAAGTGGTGCAAAATAGGGCTTGAATAAGTTACGTACTATATCTTACCTTAACAAAAATTACAAAAAAATATCATTGCTAATTTTTTTGAGCTGAAGGATTCTAATGTCATAATTTAAAGAAATAATACTTTCAAAACATAACTAATTATAAAACTACCTTATCTTGAATGTGCTTATTTAAAGTGCCTTTGTAGACTATACTATTTTTCAGCATGGGTTTGTTCTTGGTATTTAATTTAGATCTTTCATTTTCTTATACTGCACCACTACTTATAATATATATCACAGAAATCCCATAATATTTGATCCTATTGCATATTCGTCCAGTGTTTTCCTATTTAAGCCAGTCCCATATTATGAATACTGCTTCAAATTGTGATTATTTACATACTCATGTACTATTGTGTTGGCGTACCTGATTAATTATAACATACACTGGGAAATCAAAATGTAATGTTTACAACTATTTGGGAAAATAACACGATGTAACACTTCCGGCGTAAGTTTAACGTTAACACATACAAAATTGACTTCTGACAACTTGTTTACAAAAACATAAGTCAATGACGGATGACTGTAACGACTTTTAGAACGATTTTGATTCTTGGAAAGTTGCTTTGAGATAACAAGGTTAGCCGGATTATTTATGAATCGTTTTGTTGGAACGAAGTGATTTATAGAAGAGATGATCCGGAAAAATACGGTTAAGATAGTGAAAAGGTCCGAGATTTATTACTTCGAGTTGGTAAACACGGTCAGGATATGTATGTGGAAGGAAAAAAACCACCACTGTGGCTTATGTTGGGGTTTAAATATATTCCATTTATTCTTGTTTTTTTCCAAACAAGGTGGATAAAATGGTCAAAATTGTAATAATAGATTGGATACCTATCCAAGTGATTGCAGGGTTCAGCTTCAACTCTGAAGGCTGTTGGTTCAATTCTGAACAAAGTCTATTATGGACTCACATGTCATTGGGTTGGGGAACAATAAATAATGCTTCCTAACATGGTTGATGTTGAAAAAAAAGGACCAGTGATTGGGTCATTCTAAAAATGTTGATATAAAGTTTTACTTTGTGTCGGATCTTGGTGTAAGATTGTTGGAGATTTTGCATTTATACAGGGTGAATCAGACCACCCGTGTACATAGTTTTACGAGAGTGCGTTTTCACACAGAAACGCGAAATAGAATTATTATACAATAATGTCCCCCTAAATCAAATACGAAGAAACACACACACATAAAATACTTAGAACATGATCTAAGCACAGGGTGTTCCAGAAATGAAGGTCACGGGTTCGAATCTCAACATTTCCGTATGTCACATTGTAAATTTTTAGAAAGTCTTCCTTCGAGCTACATTTTGGTGAAAAAGAACTCAATTTTCTCAAATCGTTTCAAAATGAACGAATTTTTGCGAATTTTTCGCGTATTGACATAATACCCTGTATTTTCCAAACAGATCAATATTTTCGTTCTGATATGAAATTTCGTAATCTTGGTAAACACAGCTTTACATTCATGTGCCCCATGTAATAATTTTTTAAATTTTTTTAAAAAATTTTATTTTTTGTAATGTTGATAGTCCTGTAAATAAAAAAAAAAAACAATTAAATTGCAACATATGTCAAACAGCATATCAGTTTAAGAGTATTGTAAAGATGAACAACTTTCCAATTTACACCTACTGTCTGTTTTAGTATGTGCACGGGTAGTCTGATTCACCCTGTATTGTTGAAAACAAATTATACACCTTCTATCTTGTGTATTTGTAGCACATAATTTGAAAATAGAATGTTCAAAAAGAGAGGAAATCGTTAATCGATATTTACTCCCAACGACCAAACTCATTCAAAAATGTCAATAGCACATCGCGTTATTATCTACTGACTGACAGACAATTGTCAACCAATGGAGCAGTCCTGGACAGATACGTTGTATTGTGAGGCTTGCAATCATTGCAGGACTCTAGTAGTAATCATTGTCTGTAGTTATGCAATAGTCTATGCTAAAATTGTAGAAACGTTACGTAAAGCGAATGAAAACTGAAGTTGGGAAAGCTATTAAAATGATTCCGCTAGTGTACCGTCAGTATTATACATATAATACCCCCGCCGCAGCAAACCTACCGACTAAGTGAATTTCCATTTGTCTGAATTGATTTTGAATTAAATTTATTTAAATAACATTAGGTTTAACGAGTACCTAAGTTTGCTGCTACAAGGAAACTAATAAAGTGTGTTTTTGTAAAATATTTATAGCTTAGTGTAAAATAAATAATTTGCCAAGTTTGATCAAAATATATCTATAAACAAGCAAGCTGCAACATTTTACAATATTCTCCATAAGAATAACATGGGGATTTTAAATTTAAAATTTTTTGAATTTTCTCCGTTACCAATAACTTGTACAAAACACTTTGATATACTAATTTATTTGTTTTGTTAAGCTCTTTAAAAAGGCCTAGAGAGAAATGGAGAAATTTTGTGATTTGAGGGTCAAAATGAGAAAAATCAATTTGTACCCCATAAAACCCCCCCGTAAAAACCCCGTTCCCATGGTCCGATCATGCTGGCTCGCGAACTCATTCACGTTTATCCTGCCTTACCCCTTTAAACAAAATTTCATCAAAATCTGACAAAAATTACTCAATCACAAAAGACACAAAGATCAAAACTGTAAAATAAAAATAGCTAAGATGTCACTATTTTAGTTGTAAAATGAGCTAGAATGTGGCTAGGCTAGTCACGTAGCACCAAATTTTGCCTTATTTGTCAACCATCGAAATTGACATGTATGATTGATTGTTCATGTAAATATCTTGAATTTTTAAAGCAAATATATTTAACAAAATGTGTGAATAGCAGAAATTAACTTAATCAATTCAGTTATTAATTAATTAATTTGTGTGTTTAGGATAAAGTATCACATAGCAGTTGTACATAGTGTTTAACCAATTATAAATTGAATTACATGAAAAAGCGTACTTTAGCTTATAACCACCATAAATAAGTAAAACATATTATACTTGTATTATTTATACAAACGGTATCCTGTTTTCAATGTTTTCGTAAGCAAACATTGACATGATGTAAATGTGGGCAAAACTAACAAGACAAGCTAATTCCGAGTACATGAAAACTGTTTACCCGACGTTCATTTACATACTTAAAACATCCAAACCAGCCACCCATGGACCTACACTGGGAAACCCACTTTGAACGTACTCTAATATGGAAATAGTTAATTTGAAAAACAAAAATTGGAAAATATTTCAAAAGCTATTAGAACATGTACCGGTAATGTAAATTAAGTATTTAATTGTTCTAAGATACTTAATCCAACAGAAATACAGATCTGCAACGCTTTATTCCATAAAGTAGAATATGAATGATGAATACTAAAAGTACCAACTAGGGGGGGGGGGGGGCTAGGCACGAGCCCGGAATTGTTTTTTAAAGTTCTTCAGGCTAGACCTAGGGGTTGAGGCATAATCACTTTGATAAAATCCGTTGGTGATTTGGTGGGATTTGAACCCGGGCCCCAGGGGTCCCGTGCTCTACCACTAGACCAGCTCACTCCCACCACCATCCCCTTAGAGAGTTTTAAAATAGTCGTATATAATGACAGCTTGCATAGTAAATACAGGCTAATGGTAACACGTTTCAATAGGTAAAATTCACCATACGTTTCAATAGGTAAAATTCACCATATTATATAATGTTTACTGGATAATCTATGCAACGGGATGATGACGCAGAAGAGAAATATGTAGTTCCTTTAATACACCGGAGAACACAGATACCCCCACCATCGGTTACAACATAAACAAATGTTAACTGTAACACTTCACTGTGTATACTCTTTGGTCTAATTAAATCATCCTTGTGGCTGAATTAACTAACTTGATTTAAATTCCATAAATTAAATGTAACAGAGCAAATACGTACTGTGCGGGGGTTTTCTTATTATGAAGACCAAATAATGAGTATTTACTTATAAATGCTCCATCGCGAACTTCAAACGGGGACCATGTTGTCCAATGGGGTCCGAGGGTATTTTAAGCACATGCATGAGGGTTTTCGGGGTTCATAGTTTCATTTTGGGTAGTTTTATCAACGTTAGTTCTATGGTCATTACATTTACCAGGGACAAATACATTTAGTGGAAACATCTATTTTATAAGTAAACAGTGGCAATGTTATAATTGACAGTTAAATATAACTTTCCATGAAATAATTATACTCTTCTGTTATACTGACCACATCAGGTTAGGTTAGGTAGGTTAGTTAACCAAGCATTTTAAATGATGGTGTGTTTTTAAATTTACATATAACATAACCTAAGCTAACCTAACCTAAGTTAGCCTTTACTGTAAGTTAATCTAAGGGTGGTTTCGTAGGAAGTGACTGATTGGCAGGTATATTGGAGCGTGGTCAGTTGTAATTACTTATTGGGGGTGCAGCCTATATCTTGTTGTGGCAAGGGTAGGAAATTGCCCTATATAAGATTGTCGCTTCAATTTGTTACACAGAGAATATCCCTGTGGTTATTTGTAATAGGGCTCGCCTAGTTACCAGGAGGTACGGTTCCACCTTGACAACTGTCAGTAGCTTTATAATGATCCTAGAACCATCTCTGTGAAATTTTAGTAATGGTCGTTGCCAAATAAACATATGGGTTTTAGCAAAAAAAAAAAAAAAAAAAAAAAAAAAACTACACAAATGATCATTCTTACTTGGCTTAAAATACATACCTTAGTATGGTCGCCATATCAGATAACAGTATTAAAGTACCATTGTCTCCTTTAATACAAGGCCGTGGCATAAAAGTGGCAACGTCGCAATCCCGGCCTACTGCAACAGCTGTTGCATTGTTCATAATGGAGCGTCGGTTAACGTTTACAAGTGTGTTATCAATGTTCAATCGGCCGCTCGGTTAAGAGCACAGAAAACGTACTACTATAACAGGCAAAGCTCTCTCAAACTGCTTAATGCTTTTTACCATGCGGTTGGCATTCTGGATTATAGTAGTACGTTTTCTGTGGTTAAGAGGCAGTGATATTGCTTCATTATAAAATCTGCATTCGTGCGTTTGGGTTAGTCAGTGGGACAACGGAATTCGGGCCCAAGGCAAAGATTTCGAGGGCTCAGATCCTGGTACATTGCACTACTTTTTATATGTACAGTTCAACATTGTACTTTAGCGGATACTTTCAACGCAGACGACTATGTGGACAGAAAAATACAAGACCAAAAGAGGCCGCAAAGTTTTTTTTTTCCCCAAAAGAAAACGTATTTAGCAAATGCGCCCCAAGTGTGCGTCACTGTTTATGTCAGGTATTGTTTAGTTTATTTATACATTTATGTATTCTTATTTATGTTCTTTTGTAGTGTTCCTACGTTATTTATGGTAATATATAAATTAGTTAGCTTTCATCTTGCTTTGTTTTCTTTTTGTTAGTTTATTAATTACGATATATACGTTTACCATGCACATTTTGTTATTCTCCTAGGGGTTTCACATGTATATACATTTTTGATAATTTGTCATTTGTTCATAGTACCATCGGATTACTGTAATCGCTTATTAATACTTTATGGTGCGCATCTATTGATTAAACTGAATATTTGTATCTATTTTCATATATAATTTAACATTTAAAGACTCATAACATGTTTATAATGCCAAAAGAATAACGTTAATGCCTTAAGCATTTAAATAAAATGTAGGATATGAACAGTAAAGTGGAATTTTAAAAAGAATTTTCTTGGCAAAACAACTCAGGCATTTAATATTTTAAAAAATCGGTACCTGGAGACCTGGAAACTCCTTAGGGTAAATTAAAATCCAGCCTCTTTAGCTTAAACGATTTTGTAAAAACAAGATTGTACTTAACTCCCTTAGGCGCTTCTATCCTGCACGTCAAACTTGGAAGTATTTGTGAAAAATATTTTTTAAAATAGTTTTTTGTAATTAAGGACATTTTTTATTGACATGGGTAATATTTTACTGCTGCAAACCAAACTAGAAGTACATTTTTTACCAGTTTTAAATATTATTTGCATTAAATGGAATTAAGTGATGGAAGGTGGAAACGACTTACTAGTGAAAACAATATTTGAGAAAAATAATATTTTTTTAAATATTTTGTCTTCAAAAAATCTATAGTTGCTGAAATTTAATTTTTAAAAATTACCTCTTCCTTTTCCCCAAGGGAGTCTCCATTCTCGACTCGGAATCTTCTTCCATTTGGTTCTTGGCCGTTCACTTCTACCTGGGGAAGCTGAAACAGAAAAAAAGTGTTTAAATACAAAACAAGGTTATTAATCATCTATACAGGGTGAATTTTAAATGAGTTCCCCCCCTACTTTTTTCTACATTTCTTAAGATATCATCTCCGGACCACGTCAGATCATTGTTGAGTAGTAAGTATTTCATTTTGACTGGGTGTACATTTTTGGCCGCCATCTTGGATCCGCCATATTGGATACAAAGTTTTTTTTTTCAAATGTAAAGGTAGGGTTGTGACCCATTATTTCAAACAAGAATTTTACGCTGATTACAATGCCGCAATTAGTTTTTAAAAATCTTGATCCGTTCTAAAGTTATGAGGACTTTTTATAACTTTATTTTTAGCGCATTTTAACATTGTGCATTTACAAACTAAGACCATAATCTCAAAATAGTGCTAGATAAAGATAAGTATACAACACCATTCATTGTTGACATACTTTCACTTGGTTGTGACGGATGTAGTTTTTTCAGCCGCCATCTTGGATCCGCCATTTTGAAATGTGATCAATTAATTTAAAAATGAAGGTGGTGTTGTGACCCATCATTTTGAGCTACTTCTTTATGCTGAACTCAATGCCGCAATCCGTTTTTCATTTTCATCTTTGGATTTTGAAATATTGAAATTTTAAATAAGATATTTTAATATTTCATCAAGAAAGCTTGATAACCAAAAACGGATTGCGGCATTGAGTCCAGTATAAAAAAGTAGTTCAAAATGATGGGTCACAACACCACCTTCATATTTAAATTAATTGATCACATTTCAAAATGGCGGATCCAAGATGGCGGCTGGAAAATTTACATCCGTCATAACCAAGTGAAAATATGTCGACAATTAATGGTGGTGTATACTTATCTTTATCTAACACTATTTTGAGATTATGGGCTTATTTTGTTAATGCACAATGTTAAAATGGGCTAAAAATAAAGTTATAAAAACTCCTCATAACTTTAGAACGGATCAAGATTTTTAAAAACGAATTGCGGCATTGTAATCAGCGTAAAATTCTTGTTTGAAATAATGGGTCACAACCCTACCTTTACATTTGAAAAAAAAACTTTGTATCCAATATGGCGGATCCAAGATGGCGGCCAAAAATGTAAACCCAGTCAAAATGAAGTACTTACTACTCAACAATGATCTGACGTGGTCCGGAGATGATATCTTAAGAAATGTAGAAAAAAGTAGGGGGGGAACTCATTTAAAATTCACCCTGTATAACACATGCTTACTGCAAATACCAAAGGTATATTACAGAGGAATGTATGCTAATCATGCAGTAGATTTTTTCCACATCCGTCGACTTGCCTACGAAGAAGCTTAAAAGAAGTTTTATTCTTTTCTTTGAAACTGTTTTGTTCACTTATCTGTTGTGAATGAATGCTACATAATTAATTATCCAAGTTGCGTTTAAATGATTTTCTGTTTTTTTGGTACTGTTTAAAAGAAGTTTAATTTGAGGCAAAGCATATGTAACATGCAACATTTGATCAGTTTTCAATAATACATTCTTTACCAGGTAATACATTGAAAACTCCATTTGGTGTTTCCATAGATGTATACTATATACATCGATGGGGTGTCATTGACCCTTAAATGTTTTGCAATGTAGTTTACTGTTTGATGTTATCTTATAATTTATTCCTTATTAAGCCTCGCTAAAGGGATTAGGATCGCACAATTATACTTCTAAAAATATTGAAACATCTGAAGCTTTTTTGGACGTGTGCGCTTCAACAGATAACGCTGGAGACTGATGATGATGATGACAAAATGTTTGCAACAATTCAGTGTACATTTGACAATGTAGGCTTTAATCTTTGTCAGGAAACACAAAGAATTACCGATATAAATCTTTCTCTGAGTGTTGTATCAGAAGGCAAGGTTACAAAGGTACAATTATATTCTGCCATGATACATTGAGGTTAGTAAAATTGCCTAGAAAGTAGAAAACGTAAACAAATCAAGTTTTAGTTGACATATCAACACTTTTGAATAGTTTTCAGTCATAGCCTCCTCTAAAAGCCACGGCGTTGGTATGTGGCAACGTCGCACCGGCCTGTTGCCATGGTAACAACAGTGATAACTGTATAAACATAAACATTGTGCAGACGCTCCATTACGTGTCAATATATCAGCTGTTTTGTAGGCCGGGGCTGCGGTGTCGGTGTGTGGCAACGTCGCACCGGCCTGTTGCCATGTTAACAACAGTAATAACTGTATAAACATAAACATTGTGCAGACGCTCCATTACGTGTCAATATATCAGCTGTTTTGTAGGCCTGGGCTGCGGTGTTGCCAGTTTTCTCTCGCCGTGGCATTGTACTAGAGGAGGCCATGTTTCAGCTGATTCATATTATTATGATACATATGAAAGTGGGTATGTTTAACCTATGAAATAGTATATTATTAGGGTAGGCCAAGTTATTAGATTTGATTTGGATACCTCAGTAGGATTGCAAAATGTATGTGTTACTTATTTCACAAAATTAAAATACACACAGTGAACCGAACAAAGTCCTGTAAAAGTGGGGATCCGTTTCTGTATATTTGAAACCCAATATAAAAATATTCAAGTCCCAAAGCAGTCTGAAGAACCAAGATTAATTTAATTAAAATCTTTTATCTTGCTAACTGCAAAGTAAGAATAATTAGTTACTCAGCTTTATTTAAACTAGACTTTATAAAGTGTACTACTTTGTTTGGATAACAATAAATAGGATTCTTTTGAGTTCCCCCAGAGTGCTCTTGACAAAGTTTTATTCTTTTCTTTGAAACTGTTTTCTTCACTTATCTGTTGTGAATGAATGCAACATTATCCAAGTTGCGTTTAAATGACTTTCTGTTTTTATTGTACTGTTTAAAATACGAAGGCTTAACTTTAAAACAAATCAAATGATTGCCAAATATTAGTAATAATGATTTTTAAGAATAAAAATCAAGAGTTAGTAGGATAGCTTACATAAAAATGACATTTAAATGAAAACATAAGTAATTAAATGCTATTGGTGTGAATTTATGTCTAAACTAAAGCGTTGGTGGCGAGAATATTGTTAACAGGATACAACGCTTGACAAAACAACACTATTGTGTATTGAAGTCAAGTAGATTTACCATATATGGACCGGCTGTGGTAAAATCTTCAATCAAATTGGTTTGATTTTCAAATTTCTTGTAAAAAACAACGTGATCTTCGTTTTAGATAGTTTCATAGTTGATAAATAACTCTGTTAGTTTACAGTAATGTGCCCTTTTAATTTGTCCTGATTATAAAGCATACCAGCTAATTTATAAGCTAGATATTGACTGCAAGGTTCAAGATTTACAATAATAAAATTTTGAGAAATTTAAGAGCAATCCGAAGTAATTCTTGGTAACAAATTAACCGTACAAATTCAATAATTCGGAGAAGCAATTAAATACACTGCTGAAAATTTTTGATTGGATAGAAATACTTAGACGTTTACATTTATTTTCAAAGAAGGACCAATGCGAGTTACAGCAAGTATCTGCAGCATAACAAAGAAAGAGTTTTGATTTGATTTGCTAAGTATGCAATCAAGAAGCAATTTATTGACAAAACACTTATTCATAAAAAAATCCTCAACTACAAAAATCTCCACACACAAAATATAATCATTTTGTGTGAAAATATTTTGAAAAGCAAAAAAATAACCTCATATAATTTAGAACATCAACTTTCAATTAGTGGCTGTGTTAACATGCAAATTCATATTTATTAGTGTGGTGTAACGAACAAGTTATGTTGGAAATAAGCTATGCTGATGAATAAACATAGCTTGTGGTTAATTAATTAGATTTCCATGAATATTTTAAGCAAACAAAGAATCTCCAGCACAATTCTGATCTTGAAGTTGGTTAAGTAAATTGTTTATTTTAATTGTGATAACGCTTGCGATGAGAAGTTTGCAACAAAAGAGTAATTAGAAGTCTGAGTGATTAAGATTACGTTGAAAATGAAATTTTGGATTTATGTTTAATAGTTTGAATGTCTTACTGGTTTAGATATTATTATGGTTTTTGGAAACAAGTTGTCAACTTTTGCGATACAGTTTTGTAGTTTTCTAAATAATCTTCAATCTTTGAATGGATTAGTGTTGGGAGCTAGTTAAACGTAATTGTACATGTAGATAGAGAGTTGGTTAATGATAATTTCACATTTTGACAGTTTACAATGTAAATATATCAGAAAATTGGAAATTGTATATTGTGTTGTAATACATTCTTAGTGATAACAGGTTCCTCACGTGTAATTTCATTACAAGATGGAAACCATTTTTGGGACCAATTCATCTAACAAACCAATCATTGCATTTACGGGGTTTTGCTAAATTTGTTATATGGTGCAGTAAAACTAAAAATATAGTACATTAAACGAGTTAACATATTGTGTATTGAAGAGTATTACATTATGTATTGTTGACGATGCCGTGCATGACACGTGTGACGAGGCAATAAAGAATTTGATTTGATTTGACACTTTGTCATTTTGCAAACAAGAGCTCGTGAAGAAAAAGTTACTTTCAGTCCTTAATGGTGAAATGTACTATTTTGTTATACTGAAGCAAAAGTGTCTGTTTTCAATACATGTTTTGCAAGGGTAAAGAAGTTCTTATCCTCAGGAAAAAAGGATTAGCTGGAATTGGGAACATTATGTACATGTTTATGCTTTTTAAGTTGCCATGTCACAAATTTAAGTGCGTCGTTGTCAAATTGTGTATGTGTATATTATCATGTTATATTGTACCTTTGACTATGTACGTAGTAATAACATAGAAACGCAAACCTTTTTGAAATTTAGAGATATTTGGTGAATTTAAATTTTATTGTTTTTGGCGACGGGATTTTTTTAATAGCGGCAATGGCTTTTCATTTACAATGGCAAAAAATGGCGAAAACATTTTGGGAGCTAAGTTATAAAGGAGCGATGTAAGAAACTTCAGTTTTGTGATTTAGTTAGCTTATTATCCCGAGGTATACCTTCTCCTCGTTCTTTAAACTTGAGCCCGTTTTTCAAATAGTCACTTGAGGTTATGAAATGTAGCCTAACATTTTATATACAGTGTATATACAATTTTATATACATTGTATACTATATGAATATTTGTTTTGTGAGTATTATTATTACACATTATTATTACAATGGCATTGTGCATTATGTAATTTGCTTACGATATAGCCCTTGTTTTTCTAAAGGCCTAATGCTGATGAACCATTCCTTAACGATGGGTAGAGGCTTTTTACATGTAACGTCAGTAAGGCCATTCATTGCAAGGACCTACTTTTCCAGCAAAATCTTACTCTACGGACCTCTTGTAAACTCTAAGGAAAACTACAAACTTTGTGTTGAGGACTAAAATCATAATGCTTTCAATAAGAGGTTCTATTAAATTCAAATAAGAGCTATGGGAAGAATAAATGATAATATTTTGAATAAATTATCATGACTGATCCTTATAGTCAGTAAAAACGCTATACAAAGACAATTTCAATCCATTCTACACACATACTTCACTCATATTTGGGTTGAAATACGCACCTAGGTAGCGCCCCTATCTCAATAACTGACAATTGATAATAATTATCTTACTAATATTATAATTGATAATATGATGTTATTCCTGTGCATTTAAACAAATCTATCACGATGATCGTTTGGTCAACCATGTGGTTGGCTATCTAAGTCAATATTAGATATACCATTAAGTTGGCTTTAAGACTTAAAAAGCATTACAGTACTAAATGAACATTTTACGTTTTTTCAAGGCTATAGGCCTAGTTATTAGGTTAAATATTTTCCAGGGAAATTCCTTCAAATTCTACGAAAGCTTTTTTGTGTTGTGAATTATTTAAGTAAGGACGACACTATAAATGAACAAAAAAATATTTTTAAGTATAGAAAGATAAATACAGAATGTTAAGTGTGATGTAAAAAAATGGTAACTGTGGAGTGAATACAAGAAACACTTAATGACGAAAACACTTCTTTCTCTACTCACCAACTCAACGGAACCGTAGTGTCTTCTGCTAAAAACTCCTCTTCTGGATATGAGATCACTGGAGGTGGAACTGAAACAATGAAAATAAAGTTAGTAGAGCTGAAAATTATGATAAAATTCAACAACTCTCATATAAATTTTGTAAAATACTTAACCAACAAAACAAGTTTAAGCAGCTGTTTTACATCCTAAAACTATAAAGTGGTGGTATGAACATGAAAATCACACATTATTTAAAAATGACAAAAGAAAACGGTGATTAAATAGTTTTATATTTACAATATAGGCTAATCTTGCATAAAACCTGAAATAAAATCCACCAAAGAATGGAGGAAGAGAAGTAATACCTTGGCGAATACGACTCTAATCCTTTAGAATCTTATCTCAAAGAGAATTACAATCGCTACAAAGCATATTGTGCTGTATCGAACATGGGATATATAAAGATAATACAGTAAGGGAATTGTATTTACATTACTGACAGTAAATGAAAGACGAGAAATTAAAATTTTTTACAACTCAGGTTTAGATATAGACTAGATATAATAAAACGGTGAAATATTTAAATAGCTTAGTGCGCAAATAAATGATTTTGTTTTCGTTTGAATTTTAACATGTAACAAAGTAAAAGTATGCTTAGAAAAGTTACTTTGAAGAACAGTTATTTAAAGAAATCATCTTAAAACATTGTCTATTGCATTAGTGCTGAATTACCACCCAAAATCTGTAATGCTATCGAATTGTTCAATAATTAAAGCTCAAGAGTAGTTTCATTGATGTTATGTAAAACGAAAAATTTCACATTGGATGGAATCCATATGATTTGACATGTCATATGTTTATATTTGAAAATCACAATCTTGTAAACTTTATATGACGAATAAACATTTCATTTCATTTCAACCAAAATGGTAAATATTGTCTTAACCATTGAAGGCGTTGTACTTGATACGCGATTCAGTAATTTCTCATATTTATTTATATGTTAATTTTTGGTAAATGTTAAGCCAAAAAACGTCCGAATGATACGTACTTTCGTTGTATACATTATAAATCACCAGTGAAAATTGTATATAATGCATCATACAGTTTACGTATTAATGTAGAAACAAGTAAACCATATTAGAAGAGTTGGGGGAAAATCTAATGTCGCATTAGACATACTAATAGCTTTTTAAGACCCTCACCAATATTTTACCTGTGTAAAAGTAATGGTAAGACTCAGTTTCACTTCATCCTCATAAATTTTCATAAGGTAATCTGTTGTGACGGAAAGTGTAAATCATTCTCACGTGATAAGTGACAGGGTTTTACTTTTTGTGCTTTTGCCATTTTTATACCAGTCCTCTTCTAATACCCTGCAACCGATAGAGTCTATTTGTTATTTTTTGACACGGGCTAGATTAGTATGACACTATTTGACAAAGGTGACATTTTAATGGTAGGAAATCAAATAGTTTTGGGTTAGGTTAGTAATAGTGCTAGGATACATGATTGGTTGTTTTTCAAGGCTTTCAGTAAAGAGAGTTCATTAATATAAAGAAAGCTCTTCTTATTTGAGACGCAATATTTTTTTCAAGGGAGCGAGCTGGTCTAGTGGTTAGAGCGCGGGACTCCGGTTCCTGGGGTCCCGGGTTCAAATCCCGCCAAATTACCAATGGATTTTATCCAAGTGATAATGCCGTAACCCCTAGGTCAAGCATGAAGTAATGTGAAAAACAATTCCGGGCTCTTGCTCAGCGTCCTAGGACAAAATTTTTTTTTTTCAAATAAATAGCTTCGAACCTCCAGGTCCTCAAGTTATCTTGGTGATTGGTGGGATTTGAACCCGACCCGCCAAGGACGAAGCCCCGTGCTTAAACCACTACAACTTTATCACACAGGATACAATTATATAAACATTTAGTTTTATGATGTTAGATCATCGTATCGGTACAGTAGATCTAAAAAAAAACAACCTAAGTCAAACTGGAAGATAATCGTGTACAATACATCGAATGTTCATTTTCGAGATCAATGGGGTAATATACTAGTATAAATAATAATATAAATCGAAATTATGCGAATAACGACCTAAACCTGAATTTAAAACCTATTGTATCTTTGAATGGGCTCCTAAATATAACATTACACAAATGATGTCTATTTGCAATATTTGTTTTGCGTATCTTTACTGTGTAATATTTTCGTAATCCGAAGGAGGGGATTTTGAATAACACGTGGTGCCCTAATGCCTGGTCACATTTGGGAATATTCTTAGGCAAAAGTCACGCATGATGTTGGACATTTGCCAAATTGTACCTGCAAATGTGTGTGTCGATGGTACAGCCCATATGGGTACCATTTAAGGTGAATTAAAATGGCATATATTTAACATACAATTTTAAAATATTTTTTTCAACCACACTTGGGTTTAATGTTGAAAAAGATAACATAACAATAATTTATTAAGATTTGTTAAATATGAAAATATTATTTTATGACTTTGTCTGTCGTAATTTTAAACAACGTAGATGCCGATTCCCAAAATAGTTTTGATATGAAGGGATGAGACAGCTATAAAGATTAAAAAATAGGAAATATATTTTAAAAAGTAGACAATATAAAGGACAAAATGATGCATAAAATGTTGCATACAACTATTAAGTGTATGAGCCAGACTTAAAAAATTAAAAAATAAGGCACGGACTTGAAGTTTGTCCCTACGTAATACCAAAGACTTTAATTAAAAAGTTTAAGTTAGACGATAAGACCAGGATTTTGAACACTCTCGCATAAAAAGCATATGAAGTCTCCATAATTCATATTTGGCATATTTGGAAGTAAACTTAAGTGTTATTAAAGAAAAAAGAAATAAAAAAAAACCATTTTTGCAATTAAGAATTTTCAAGAGCTTAGTAAGGTAGTATAACCTCTCTAATAGTTATAAGAGAGAACAGAAGTACTCTTTTTTATTATACTTATTATTTATATTTGGGCATTAAAAGCTAGTAAAAATATTATATTGTCATTGTGTAGAATTTTACTGTTTTAAAAATAAATGTATATAATTTAAAGCATTGTCTGTATTCTTTGCTTAAGTAACATTTACAGAAAACTTCAATTGGTGCTTCACCAATTGTAATTTGTAGGTTCTTTTACAGTCTTTATAATATGCCTCGTATAGTACAACTGTTTTTCAAGTCAATAAATTTTCTCCCAATCATACTGTCAAAAGGATAAGAATATAACAATAATTTTGTGTGAATGTACAATAATCAGATGCCCTGGTATTTACAAATCGACAAATAGTTTGAATACGCAATTATAAAATTTAAGAGCATTATGTTTTAAAATTTTTATGAGTTTAACACACTGTTCACTGGAAAGTGTATATGATTAGTAGTTTTACCTATACTTTGTCTTTAGTATGTAGTTTCTTAGGCTTTATTTTAATAATTGTACTAGTGGTCATCCAGTGGCTGAAAACTCGACCATAGAAATGTAATGTACAGACTTCTCTATTCTTACCCCACACCGTAATAGTAAATAAAACATGTGATTGTAATTTCTTCAATTTGTTTTGCTTTTCTGTTTATATTTCGTTGTTATTTCGTCACCAGCATAGCAACGCATAAGGCCCATGTTATTTTTTTAAAATTTTAAATTAATTTTATGTGTCTATTTTTGAGCCTATTTTAATTTTTAAAGGGATTCTGCTCATCTACAGGATAATAACTTTCTAACAGTATGCGTAGATTTTCCCTGCAATGCACACGAGCAGAGGAAAAAGGTTTTAAAAAAACATGCTTGCCTATTAATATATAGTTTTTATAAACGACTTTGCCAAGAATAGTGGTAATGCATATTTTAAATAAAACACCCCTGAAGCGATACTTTTTAATTTTAACACCCGAAAAGCTTCGTTGCATAAACAAACTTTTCAAAGGGATTTCGCTGTGTTTTAGGAAGGCACCACAGTAAAATGATACTAAAATACAACATGGTTTTAATTTTCGGGATCTAAATTTTTTCACTCCCTGTTTATATTTTCACTGTAAAACGCGTTACTGACATAAAGAAGCCTTCAATATTAATATTCGCATGCTTGGCTGTGAAAGCTTCTCAAAGGGTTTTATAAAACCTCACTCATCGCTTTACGAGTACCGAAGCTGTTGTGTTAGACCCTTCTAATACATTACTGAGTAGAAAATATATATATATACAGTATAGCTATAAAATTGTAAAAGATTTACATTTATAACACTTTGAATTGAAAAAGCTTGATAGAATAAAGATATTTTAGAAAATATAACATTAGTTTGGTTAAGGTACGAGATAAATTATTTTATAAGAAGAATAGCTGTATAAATGCAGTCATCCAAATAAAGTTTACAAAATAATGTACAATTATTTTCCGGCAAAGTTGAAAGTGAAACTAGTTTTAGATAAATTTTCAAAGGGAATATTATAAAAATGCATGTTTAGGAAAACGTAGCTTTTTGGACGATTAACTCTATTGTTTTTTTGCTATTTGATTACAATCCAAAATCAATATATTGTTATAGTCCTTATAACGTACAAAGAGGTTTGGATTTGTTTATGTTTATGATCCATACCAGTATTTTTCTAGTATTCGTGGTTGTTACTATTTGAAACATTTGAAAAAGGTCGCCAATTTTGTATCAATGAAATATAACGTTTTTGTATAGTTAGTATAAATTTTGAAAAAAAAAACACAAACTTTTTGAAAAGTCTAATGAATGGTGGCTGTTTGTTAGCTTAATAGTTAAATAATAATCAGAAATATTTTTTATTATTATGCTACAGTTACCAAGATCTGTTAATGCAAAGATTCTTTACTTAAAAGTTTATAATGTCTAATAATTTATAAGGCAAATCGTTGTCGCTTATACCACATGTAAACAAGGATGTTACGTCGATAGCTCGCATGAAGCTATATTCATTTACTCTTAATATCTTTGGTCTAATTGTTCAAACAATGAAAGCAATGAGATCTTTTTTCATTCATATCCACTGAATATTTATATTGAATATAACATAGGTGATCAAAGTATTGGGAGCGTTGCA